TCTTATGAACCAAGTCAATATTTCAGCAATGAGCTTGGTGATATCCTGGTCATTACTTAAAGGCTAAGTTCCCCCTCGAAAAAAAAAAAAAAAAAATCTATATTTTTGCAGAAAAAAAAAATGCATTTATTTTATTTTTACATGAGCCTGCAAAGTATATCAGTGACCAGGAGGGAGCTATGGGACACCTCAGTGTTGGAGAGATGGTGAATATAGTTCCACTTTAAATAAACAACCAGCAGATGTTTCAAAACTGTTAGAAATGAAATAAAACTGACTTTGGAGTCACTGTTGTGATTTTTGAGGATGAATTAGTTCACAATAAAAAGAACTAGAGAAATCACCCCTCTTGCTTTAAAGAGGTAGTAAATCCCCTGCAAGGCAATGGCATAATGTGATAGTCTGCATCGTTTACTAGCACATTATGAAATACTTTAGAACAAAGCTCTCTAGTGGTGTGAAAGGGTTTCCATCTTCCCCCAATCTTCCTTTCAGGTTTGCTGGCTCCAGTCCTTTGAATAGCTGAGCTGCGATTTATGTCACTCCTGTGCATGTGAATGTGGGTCACGGTTTACATCATAGAGCTCTGAAGGGATGGCATGGATATGCTGTCCCTTCAGAGTGCATGTACAGGTGACGTCACCAGCATCCAGTGTGAATATCTCCTAAACATAGCAAGTTTAGGAGATATTCACTGTACTTATTATAGGCTTATTTGTCAGTACAACTTCAAAAGCAGAGTTAATTACCACTTTAAAGCCCCTTTACTGAATATTAACGTGGACCCCCCCCCCCCCCTAAATTACTCATCAGCATGCATCTCAGCTCTCAGCACATCAAATTCCCTTTAATTAAGCCAGGTTCTCTCTGTCCTTCATAAACAGCCTTTTAAACTCATTAAGTCCCTTTCACATGGGGCAGATCCACTTTGCTCTGGTCCCCTGCAGAGCAAAGCAGGCGGATGACAGTTCCATGTCCACTCAGTTTATGCAGAGCATACACGGACTGAGCCCGCTCTGCTCCATGGCTGGTCAGTGTACACGGACCTGACTACTTCCAGTCCGATCCACCTAGATGGAAGAGGACGCCTCTTCTTCCGCTTGTTTTTAGCAAACCAGATCAGAGGTAGGCGGGTGTAAATGGACACACCTAGACGTCTGCCTAGATGTAAGAGGTGTTTATTATTATGGATGGATTCTCTTCCGTTTGTTTTTAGTGGACTGGATCAGATTGGAGGTAGGTGGGTTTAAACAGACACAAGCCCGTATACACCCGCTGGTCCATAAACAGGAATGAACTGTCTGATCAGGTCCGCCTGAAAAACTGACAGGCGGATCTAAGTTGAATGGTCATGTAAAAGGGGCCCTAGAGACATTCCTTTCTCTACTCTCACCTGCAGGGTGTTATTCCTTGTTCCATCATCTCTCCAAGGTAAGTGTCTGCACTGGCAGCCTTTCCTTAAGGGGAATCTTTCTGGCTTTGCATAGGTGTTGAGGCCTAGAAGCCTAGGACTCCCCCCCCCCATGCCTCCGGTTCCCTTTTGATAAAGAAAAAATATATTATTTTATGAAGCCTACCTCATTACCTCCTATTCCAATGTGGTCAGCAACTATGTGGTTGAGGAGGTTCTGTGAGTGCTACCTGCAGCTGGACCTGGCCACTGTAGTTACAATACGTTCTTTCAGGCATCAGAGGCAGAGTGGTCATCAAATGGGATCCTGCCACCAGTAGGAAATGCAACAAAGAGGTTCTTACATAGCACCTCCCCCTCACCCCAACCGTCCTTCTCTATCTCACCACCACCACCACCTCAATCCTCTTTCTCACAACCAGCACCCCAACCCTCTTCTTCCTTCCCACTGCCAGCACCCCAACCCTGTACAGTGCCTTGAAAAAGTATTCATACCCCTTGACATTTTCCCTTATTTTGTCATGTTACCACCAAAAACATATATGTACTTTATTGGGATTTTATGTGATAGACCAACATAAAGTGGCACTTAATTGTAAAGTGGAAGGAAAATGATAAATGGTTTTCAATATTTTTTACAAATAAATACTGTATCTCAAAGAAGCGAGTGCACCCATCACATTTCTGTTAATATTTTATTATATATTTTCATGTGACAACACTGAAGAAATGACACTTTGCTACAATTTAAAGTAGTGAGTGTACAGCTTGTATAACAGTGTAAATTTGCTGTCCCCTCAAAATAACTCAAAACACAGCCATTAATGTCTAAACCGCTGGCAACAAAAGTGAGTACACCCCTAAGTGAAAATGTCCAAATTGGGCCCAGTTAGCTATTTTCCCTCCCCGATGTCATGTGACTCGTTAGTGTTACAAGGTCTCAGGTGTGAATGGGGAGCAGGTGTGTTAAATTTAGTGTTATCGCTCTCACTCTCTCATACTGGTCACTGGAAAAAAAGAATTTCTGCTCTACATAAAGATGGCCTAGGCTATAAAAAGATTGCCAAGACCCTGAAACTGAGCTGCAGCATGGTGGCCAAGACCATACAGTGGTTTAACAGTACAGGTTCCACTCAGAACAGGGCTCACCATGGTCGCCAAAGAAGTTGAGTGTATGTGCTCACAGTCATATCTAGAGGTTATCTATGGGAAATAGACGTATGAGGGCTGCCAGCCTTGCTGCAGAGGTTGAAGGGGTGGTGGGGTCAGCCTGTCAGTGCTCAGACCATAAGCCGCACACTGCATCAAATTGGTCTGCATGGCTGTCGTCTCAGAAGGAAGCTTCTTCTAAAGATGATGTAAAAGAAAGCCCACAAACAGTTTGCTGAAGACAAGCAGACTAAGGACATGGAGTACTAGAACCATGTCCTGTGGTCTGATGAGACCAATATAAACTGATTTGGTTCAGATGGTGTCAAGCATCTGCGGCGGCAACCAGGTGAGGAGTACAAAGACAATTGTGTTTTGCCTACAGTCAAGCATGGTGGTGGGAGTGTCATGATCTGGGGCTGCATGAGTGCTGCCAGCACGGTGGAGCTACAATTCATTGAGGGAATCATGAATGCCAACATGTACTGTGACATACTGAAGCAGAGTATGATCCCCTCCCTTCGGAGACTGGGCTACAGGGCAGTATTCAACATGATAACAACCCCAAACACACCTCCAAGACAACCACTGCCTTGCTAAAGAAGCTGAAGGTAATGGACTGGCCAAACGTGTCTCCAGACCTAAACCCTATTCAGCATCAGTGGGGCATCCTCAAACGAAAAGGTGGAGGAGTAAAGGTCTCTAACATCCACCAGCTCCGTGATGTCATCATAGAGGAGTGGAAGAGGACTTCAGTGGCAACCTGTGAAGCTCTGGTGAACTCCATGCCCAAGAGGATTAAGGCAGTGCTGGAAAATAATGGAGGCCACACAAAATGTTGACACTTTGGGCCCAATTTGGACATTTTCCCTTAGGGGTGTACTCACTTTTGTTGCCAGCGGTTTAGACATTATTGGCTGTGTGTTGAGTTATTTTGAGGGGACAGCAAATTTACACTGTTATACAAGCTGTACACTTAATACTTTACATTGTAGGAAAAGTGTCATTTCTTCAGTGTTGTCACATGAAAAGATATAACAAAATATTTACAAAAATGTGAGGGGTGGTACTGACTTTTGTGAGATACTGTCAGGGCTCCCAGTAAGACCAGAGATGCGTGAACTGACACAGGGAAATGCAGGCTCAAGTATGGTGTAACAATATAACTTTTTAAGGGTTATACACAAATATAACGCACAATATAACAAAACCAAACCTCCAACTGATAACGGAATGTACACAGATAAGAGCAGTCAGGGCTGGCGAGGAGGAGTGGTCAGGCGGGCCGGGTCAGGAATCATCGGGCAGACAAGACACAAAGGAGTAGGCAGAGCGTAGTCAGACGGGCCGGGTCAGGAACAATCAGGCAGACAAGGTACCAAAGGAGCAGGCTGGAGAGTGGTCAGGAATAGCCGAGGTCAGGACAGGCGGAGTTCATTCAGGGCCAGGATCAAGCAGAATCAGGAATCAGGCAGGAAGCAGACAGGATGCAGGTACAGGGGCTCATGGGAAACATACACCATGGCACTGACTGCAGGTCTGGCCATTCCTTAAATACACTTCCTGCAATCAGCCTCAGGTGATGGCTGACTGCAGGAGTGAGCTTCTGGTTGCTGAGAGCACCCGCTGGCCAGCCCTGGTACTGCAGCCCACAAGGCAGGTGTGAGTCCCACCACCATTGGCAAGTCCATTCCTGACTGTACCCCCCCCCTCAAGGAGTGGCCTCAGGACACTCCAAACAGTCCGTAATGGCCCAAATGTTCCACCGCCTGGGTCCGGCAACTGGCTAGACATCCCATTTCCGGAATCAAGTGATTGGCTGGGTCTCCTGCTGATAGGCCTATCTTTTTGCAGGAGACCGCAGGAAGGCAGATTGGAACACAGGATTTCCAGAAGCAGGCTGGGCATCAGGAGCCGGTACATCACGCTGGGCAGCGGGCGGAGGCAACACGTCAGGCTGGGCAGCAGGCAGGCAGAGGCACGTCCGGCTGGGCAGCAGGCAGAGGCACGTCAGGCTGGGCAGCAGGCAGAGGCACGTCAGGCTGGGCAGCAGGCAGAGGCACGTCAGGCTGGGCAGCGGGCACCGGCTTATCAGGCGAGGCAGCGGGCACTAAGTCATATTACACAACAGCGGGCACCGGGTCATCTGGCACGACAGCGGGCACCGGGCCATCGGGTGAGGCAGCAGGCACCGAGGCATCAAGCTCGACAGCAGGCACCGAGTCATCTGTCAGAACAGCGGGCACCGAGTCATCTGGCAGAACAGCGGGCACCGAGTCACCAAGCTCGACAGCGGGCACCGAGTCAACTGGCATGACAGCGGGCACCGAGTCAACTGGCACGACAGCGGGCACCCAAGTCATCTGGCACGACAGCGGGCACGGAGTCATCTGGCACGACAAGTTGCACCGGGTCATCTGGCATGACAGCGGGCACCGAGTCATCTGGCACGACAGCGGGCACCGAGTCACCAAGCTCGACAGCGGGCACCGAGTCACCTGGCACGTCAGCAGGCACTGAGTCAACTGGCACGACAGCGGGCACCGGGTCATCTGGCACGACAGCAGGCACCGAGTCATCTAGCCGGACCACGGGCACCGAGGCTCCAGGCCGGACCACGGGCACCAAGGCACCAGGCTGGACCACGGGCACCGAGGCACCAGGCTGGACCACGGGCACCAAGGCACCAGGCTGGATCACGAACACCGGGTCATCAGGCTGGATCGGGTCATCAGGCTGGATCGGGTCATCAAGCTGGATCGGGCCATCAGGCTGGGTAGCGGGCACCAGGTCATCAAGCTGGATAGGATCATTAGGCTGGATCGGGTCATCAGGCCGGACCGGGTCATCGGGCCGGACCGGGTAATCAGGTTGGATCAGGTCATCGGGCTGGATCACGAACACCAGGTCATCAGGCTGGATCAGGCCATCAGGCTAGATTGGGTCATCAGGCTGGATCGGGTCATCAGGCTGGATCGGGTCATCAGGCTGGATAGCTGGCACTAGATCGTCAGGCTAGGTAGGAACATCAGGCTGGGTAGGAACATCAGGCCGGGTAGCGTACACTGGGTCATCGGGCATCAGGGTATCAGGCTGAATTGCGGGCGCCGGGGCACCAGGCTGAACCACGGAAGGCGGGTTCTCAGACGGCAGGCTGACCAGTTTGGATACTGGCAGGATGATATTGGTTGGAAAGAATTTTCGCCTTTTCCTGGTTTTAGTTACTGGAGCACTGTAAGTAAGCGCAGGTTTGTAAACAGATAGAGCAGCTGTAGGCAGAGAAGAGCTGGGGGATGGAGCAAAGGAGGGAGCAGTTGCTACAGAGGACTTCTTTACAGGGTTAAAGGCAGGATAGGTGCAGCGAGTGGGAGCAGGGGACTGACATGTGGTAGCTAGCAGGGTATACTGGGCTGTCATTGGGGGTGCTGTCGGGAGTGTAGGAAGAAAGCTTTGAGCAGAGGAATGATAAGAAGCAGGACTGGTTTGTTGCAAGCTGACTGAGGCTGGGTGTAACAAGTCTGCCCAGGACTGTAGTATGGGTTGAACACAACTCCGCTTACACACAGCCTGTCTGACCAAAGACTGCACTGCGTCTATACACTCCACTAGCACATGAGATGGACAAGCTGCATAAAGCAATCTGGATCCTCCTCCAACAACCATACCAGCGATTCCACTTGATCTGCACTGAATGGGGGAAAAAAGTCATCCCTGCTTTCAGGGGTACTAGCTGAAGCCAACTCCACACAAGCCTGAATTAATGGTTGCACCTCAGAGAACTCTGTGCCCTGATCTACCAGGGAATGAGCGACCCCTATGCATTCTAGCAGCTGATCCCTGGTATACTCCTGCAGAGTCTCATAGGCATATTCTTTGTCATCAAAGACTAGCAGACACAAGTATATAACCTCCTCCGGATGCATCCTTCACAACAATAAGCCAAGATGGCTTCCCTGTGCAGCCACTTCTGGTCAGGAATGGCCTTGGTGTAATGTCAGGGCTCCCGGTAAGACCAGAGATGTGTGAACTGACACAGGGAAACGCAGGCTCAAGTATGGTGTAACAATATAATTTATTAAGGGTTATACACAAATATAACGCACAATATAACAAAACCAAACCTCCAACTGATAACGGAATGTACACAGATAAGAGCAGTCAGGGCTGGCGAGGAGGAGTGGTCAGGCGGGCCGGGTCAGGAATCATCGGGCAGACAAGACACAAAGGAGTAGGCAGAGCGTAGTCAGACGGGCCAGGTCAGGAACAATCAGGCAGACAAGGTACCAAAGGAGCAGGCTGGAGAGTGGTCAGGAATAGCCGAGGTCAGGACAGGCGGAGTTCATTCAGGGTCAGGATCAAGCAGAATCAGGAATCAGGCAGGACGCAGGCAGGATGCAGGTACAGGAGCTCATGGGAAACATACACCAAGGCACTGACTGCAGGTCTGGCCATTCCTTAAATACACCTCCTGCAATCAGCCTCAGGTGATGGCTGACTGCAGGAGTGAGCTTCTGGTTGCTGAGAGCACCCGCTGGCCAGCCCTGGTACTGCAGCCTACAAGGCAGGTGAGTCCCACCACCATTGGCAAGTCCATTCCTGACAGATACTGTATGTGAAAAGTGTGGTGTGCATTTGTATTCAGCCCCCCTGAGTCAATACTTTGTAGAACCACCTTTCACTGCAACTACAGCTGCAAGTCTTTTTTGGGATATCTCTACCAGCTTTGCACATCTAGAGAGTGAAATTTTTTCCCATTCTTCTTAGCAAAATAGCTCAAGCTCTGTCCGATTGGATGGACAGCGTCTGTGTACAGCAATTTTCAAGACTTGCCACAGATTCTCAATTGGATTTAGGTCTGGACAGCTAGGCGTCTGCTGCTGTGTTGTGGCACAGGCTATAAACTTGTGAATGAGGGAATTTGGAAAAGCTGGTATTAAGACGTTGGGCATAAGAATGATTTAAGGACATTTTTTTTCTTCTCCTGTATGAACAGATTTGTTAAAAAAGGCCCCAAAATACCGCAGAGCTCTTTGAAACCAGCACTAGGGACAACTGTGCTCAAGTATGCTATGAGTGAAATCAGAACATCCAATTTGCACTGTCAGAAGTGGAGGGCACCACATTAACTACACAGATACATCTGTTTCAGGTCTATCTGTGCCACCCATGCAACTTTCTGTTTCAAAGTGAAATAGAAACTATTGCAGGTCTGCCCCTAATTAAAGCGGATTTCCACCCAAAAGGGGAAGTTCCGCTTTAAAGACTGTTCCCCTGCTCCCCATTAAGGGTTGGCACCTTTGGGAAGTGGGGGGGGGGGGGGAGCGAGAACCTGAATTTGACAGGTACCCACTCCCACTTCTGCTGCGATTGCCTAGGCGATCAGAAGCGGAAGTTGTCCTCCTATCCTCCCTTCCCGTAGTCTTTTGGGACAGGTCCCAGTAGACACCTGGGCCATTCAGGAAGCGCAGTGCTTCTCGCGCGTGCGCATTGGGCACCCAGCTGTGAAGCCACAAGCTGTCACTGCCGGGTGCCACACTGAAGATGCCGGCGCCTGGAATACAGTATGGCTGGTGAAACGGGCTGCGGGGAGGACACCGCTGGATCGTGGGACAGGTGAGTGGCTGTTTTTTAAAAGTCAGCAGCTACAGTTTTTGTAGCTGCTGACTTTTATTTTTTTTGACAGTGTGAGTGGAACTCCGCTTTAACAGAGGGAATGTGGCAGTTTTCCATATAGAAATTACCTGTTGGACAGAGTGTGAGCTGTCAGAAAACAACTGGCATCCCTCCCTCTGCCCATGCAGTAATTACATAAAAGAGCAGAGCCTGCAGGGTTAACAAGTTCTCATGTTCTCTATGCTTTGTCACAGCCACAGAACAGAGAACTAATCAGTCCAAACTAGACTATAAACTTTTTTTTTTTAGTTTTGGACAGAGAGGAGGAGAGCAGTTTTTTTATTGCTGCCTGTGCCCCATCACTTCTCTGCTTGTTCTATATGCTGTTATCACTAAGTGAAAGTGAAAGCAAAGAAAATGCCTAATTTATGGTTGCCCCAGAACACTAATAGAAGGAAAATCTGCCAGTGGAAACACTAGTTGCGGCAACCCTGGTAACAACTAAAGGATTCCTTCACTTTAGAGAAATTTTCTCTCACTTTCTGTTTTTGTTATAGGACAGGAAATGAAGGGAAATCTCCCCACTGTGACACAGATCACAAAAAAAACAGGCAAGAAGCCCTTATTCTCTCCATAATGAATTTAAAAATGTTGCTTTCAGCTCTTCTTTAGTCCTCATGCACACTGGATGTTTTTACAATTGCTGTTTTTGGCTTTTGCCCTTTTTTTTTCTACAGCCAATAAACTCCCCAGCATGTTATCCTATGGGTCCATGCACACATAGGCTTTAACCACTTGCCCTCCAGAGGATCCCCCCCCCCCCCATCCTGACCAGGCCATTTTTTGCAATACGGCGCCGTGCTATTTTCACTAACAATTGCATGGTCATGCAACACTCCACCCAAATAAAATGTATGTCCTTTTTTCCCACAAATAGAGCTTTCTTTTGGAGGTATTTGATTGCATGTGCATTTCTTTTATTTTTTGCGCTATAAACATAAAAAAGACCGACATTTTTGAAAAAAAAAAAAGACCGACATTTTTGAAAAAACAAAAACCCTATATTTTTTACTTTTTGCTATTAAACATGTTCAATAAAAAAAAAAAATCACATTTCATCATAAATTTAGGTCAAAATGCATTCTGCTTAATGTCTTTACTAAAACAAATCCTAATACATGTAAATCAATTGGTTTACGTGAAAGCTATAGTTTTTACAAATGGTGGTATATATACTGGAATTTTAAAAAAATATTTTTTTTTTTACTAGTAATGGCGGTGATCAGCGACTTATAGCGGGACTGTAGCGGGCATTCTGCCACTGGGGGGAACTGACTTGGTGTCTCTGACATCCCCAATGACACCAATACAGTGATCAATGCTAATAGAAAGCACTGACACTGTACTAATGGCACTGGGCAGGAAGGGGTTAACATGTGGGGTGATCAAAGGGTTAACTGTGTGCTGTTTTACTATGTGAGCTATGTGTGTGTTTCACTGTAAGCCCACTTGCTTTGTATGGCTCTGCTATGCAGAGCCATACAAAGCAGTGTGCAGGAGCTGACAGGGGAGAGATCTGTATTGTTTACATTGAGGTCTTTCCCCCATCAGAAATCTTTGGAGATCGACGGGTGCTGGCGGAGAATCCCCGTCTGGGACCTGGTGATCGAGAGCCAAAGCCGTGAATGCAAAATCACGTATTTATACATGATTTAGCGCACCCGTGCTGCCCTGTAGCAGTATTTCTGATATAGGGCAGTGTTTTTTTTGACAGGGGAGGTTTTTTTGGCTGGAAAAAAACCGCAGAACTAGTGGGTATCTAGAGGAGTTTTTTAGCTGTAAAAACGCCCTAACGCTGGTAAACGCAGCAAAACACAGCAAACTGTTCCAAAATGCTATTTCTTTTTTGTGTGTAAAAAAAACGCAAATGCAGAGAAATGTGCTGAACGCTAATGCAAAAACGCTAAGAAATTTAGAAAAACATGCGTATTTAACCTGACTTCATACAACTAATGCTACTGGCGTTTTTAAAATGGCCAGTGTACATTAGGACTTAAGATGCTGGGCATAGTGATTTGTAAATATTTTTTCTTCTGCTCCAGCAGATATGTTAACCTTGGATCACAACTGTGCGGGCCGTGTGGCCCTCAAATTCGTGGGCACAGCAGTCCATTAATTTGAATGGGCTGCCATGCCTGCACTTTTTTAAACAGCAGTCACAGGGAAATAGCATGGTCTTTTTGACCATGCAATTTCCCTACAGTTCCTGCACCCGCTGGTTGAGATACGTGCGGGTGCTGTTCAGAATGA